CTACTACATCCACGTACAGCTAACGGAAACGACTCTATTCCAATTAACTTCACATACGAGACCATATTTGATCCTGGCTTCCATGTTAAAATTTCTAAAAAGGTGTTGGACGTCTAATGTGTACGGACCTGATTACCTGTCCCTAGACCTAATGCAAATCCATATATGTTCGAACTTCTCAAAGGCCAAATTCAGCCCCACAATCAAATGATCTCTATTAACTGGTATCATGGGCTTGCAGATGTTTTAATTTTGCACAAGATATGCTGGAATGGCTGGCGTAAAAACTGTCCATCTAGCCACATGCTCTCGAATTAAGGATTTCAAGAGAAGGTTATTTGCAAAAGATTTATTAGGCAGTGATTACGGGAAGAAGGGGATGGTAGTGCAGATGAACCGAACAGCAGATATCACACAAAGAGTGATTCTTCACAGTCCTCACGAACAGGATATACGTTCCAATTTTCTCCAGGCTGGATAATTGTATTCCGAAGAACACAAAGCAAATGGGCTCGAGCATGACCCAAAGGCCAGCCCACAAGTACAAGGACCAGACAAATCCTCATTTGACCACTGAACGCCAGATCGTCACAAAAACAAAGCATTATAACTGACTCGAAATATATACCAAGAAGGGCGTCGATGACATATTTCAGCCATCATGATGGCTGGCGAATACCAAGTGCTTTGGTGTCCATGCTCTTAGAGATTGAACCTCAACGTATGCAAAGACTTGGCCTTTAATCTCAATCTGTGTTGCGTCAATTCAGCGAAGCTAGCAGCAAATTTATTCCTTATTTATGCAGTAGCAACGCTTAAAAATTTTCGTTAAAAATCACATTAATCTTACTTTGAAAACCCTTAAAATTTGCTAAAATAGTTGTAAATGTTTGTTTAGTTACACAAATTAACGATTGCTGCTTCTGCGATGCAAGGTCTACTTCACACCGCGGCTTTTGTGATTACAAGCAGCAATTGCAATTGAGTTTTTCCACCATAATAACAATGTTTGGTAAGGAAATTTTTAGCGGTGATAACCTTTGGTAGCAACAGACAGCTTTATCCCCTTCACCCAGGCTTTGTATGCTCAGCTGAGTTCTACAGGTATGTTATCCCTTACCATAACGAGCACAATTATGCTGCTGATAAATTTTAGCCTTTAAAGTATCCTATGTTAAATATTTACCACATTTCCAAATTTTGCTTTAAGTAAAGGCAGAAGTTGAGAAAATTAAGTGATCAATGTCTTAACTAAACCTGCAACATCCTCTTAGTCCGTAAAATATATGCCAATTTCAGAAGGGAAGAGGAACTTCTTTATGTCACCTATGAGCATATACTCGGCACTGTCACTCGCGTTGGCTGGATCGGAAAGTGATACGAGGGAGGAGCTGGTTTCCGTCCTATCACTTGATGCCGGCAAAGACATCAACGCCATCGTCCAATCGCTTGGTGCGGAACTGGGTGCTGTGACCTGTGGTGATGCGAAGAAGGCGTTGGTGGAGGCGAATGGTGTGTTCATCCAATCTGGCAGTCACATCAAAGAGACATACACGAGTGCTGTGAGCAAGCACTTGAGGGCAGCCTTCAAAGAGGTAATGTCACATTGTGGTGTATGGAGTTGTCATTGCTGTTGCTGCTGCTGATGTTGTTGTTGTTGGGGTAGTTGGATTTCAGTGGTGATGCGGAGGGATCTCGTGCATCAATC